CGCCCCAGCCTCTTTAGCTTTCAATTGAAAACCAATTAAAGGTTTCTATAAATCTGTTAGATCCCCTTTTATCTGGAGACCCCTGATGCATGCGATATTGCCCTTTAGATGCCTCTTCCGTGTTTTGTTTTACAATTGTTGTATCAATATAATGCGGCCTTTCTTCTCCTGTCTCTATAGATACAGATACACAAGGAAAACCAAAGCTATTCAGCCTCCTCATTTGTCCAGCAGCCTAACAGTGGTGCCCTTTCTCTGCTGCTGCTTCCCCTGCTCCGGGAGCAGCAGTTATGGTAGAAGCAGATGGCTACTGATTGGGGGAGCTTTGTGGCTCTAATACTGAATACTTTATGGAAAAGGACTTTATCATGCTTCGTTGGGCAGAGGAACAAGGGGGTGAGATTTATAGCCAGGAAAAATAAATCTTTTCCAAGTTGCAGCTCCTTCTCACCAGTTGTTGCCTTTGCCCTCCCCACCGGGGGGGGGGGTAAGAGTTGAGGAATTGGTTTTATCTCATTTTATTTTCCTTTCTGCTAACACTTTTTAGTCAGGGTCTGAGAGGAGAGCAGACAAAAAGCCAGAAGTTTATGAAATACCTTAGATTGCTGTTGCTGCATCAGCATTCTCTGCCCTCAGGAGTAGAGCAGAAGGATGTGGTCTTGAATGCTGTTTGGGGCCATGTTTTCCCCAATGTCCTGTTAGTTCCCGGTAAAACATCATCCTCCATTATCCTATTATCTATAGAGAACAACAACAACAAAAAGGATGTTGGTGCTCCCATTTGAAAAATCAAAGGACTCTGGCATTGAAGGAGTGTGGCAGTGATAAGCATATGGTGATGTAGGTATGCTCTCTATTCTGAAAGGGCCTAAGCTGTAAGGATGATGACAGGATGTCTGAATGTAAGCTCCTGGACTCTAAATTGAATTCTCAAGCTTTGGGGGAATATAGAGATTTCAAACCTCCACTAAAGGCCTAATTCACCCCAAGAAAATTCACCCCTGTAATTTCCTCTCCCAGACGCCATGACATTAAAGTCACATAGAAATGCTCCCAACATGCCTACTGGCAGCCAGGTGCAGAGAGATGGAAGCCAGTCCCAATCCTGGGTTTCCCATTCCATTTCAGACAGACTCCTTGTCTCATTAATACTTGAAATGCCATTTTCTACTCAAGAAACATTTGTTGAGCATCTTCCATGTTCTAAGTTCCTTTTCTCTGCCTTTCGTATTCTTTTACCTTACCCTGAGAAGGCCAGAGGAAAGGCCTGCAGCTTCCAGAAGTGTCACCTAACTTTCTGCCACAAACTGCTTCTTCCCAATTCTGTGTGCAGTACCACCCACGTAACAACGTGCACCTTTGCATTTTTTTTCTCTCTCTGAAGGAGATAGAGATTAGGGGGGCTAAGATTAAAAAATTATATTTACCCAGCATTTCAAAGTGGCAGACACTGAGATGCTTTAAATAGTTTACTGTTTGGGCTCTTACTAGGTTTCACAGAGCATGAGGCTGCAGGTGTCGGGTAGTGACCCGCCGGCTCAGGGCTGAGGTAGCCGGGCCCGACCCGGGGCTCCGTCGTAGGTGCGGCCCACAATGCCCCGCGCAGACCGCGTGCGGGCGTCGGGGCGGGGCCTGAAGGCGGCGGGCGTGGAACCCGCCCAGCCCCAGGCCTGGGCGTGGCGGAGGCCCGGGTGGCGGCGCCTCGTTCCGACCTGCTCCCCGGGCTGGAGTGCGTACGGGTGGTCCTGGGCGGCCCACCCCGCCTCGCGCCCCGCCTGCGTCCGAGCCGCCGCCCTTCGAGGAAGGGGAGGGGCCGCTCCGCCCCGAGGCCCGAGGCCCTGCTCGGGGCGGGCGGCCCGGGCCCCAGGCTTCTCTGCCCCGCCAGGCTTTGGCTTTCCGGCCGCGGCAGTGGAGTCAACCAGCGATGCGTTTACAGGCTTCTTGTTGCGCGAGGTGGGACTGCTTGAGCCCTCTGCCCTCGCCGCCGGACCTCCCAGCGCCTGTAACGTGGCGCGGCTGCCAGATCTAAAGAAAGGACTCCCGGCTGGTGAGGGATGGAAGTCCCGTCTCCCAGCCTCCCGGCTGAGAACTGCTCGCTCTTCTGTATTCTGTGTTTGGGCCCTTCCTTGGGTGGTAGAGGGAGGGGGTTCCTGAACACCTGGACGCATTCCTCCCGCCTACTTACTTTATTCTCCGGTACCTCCTTCCAGCCTTCCTAGAAACATCGAGAAATCCCCAGGCTTCACTGAGTGGCTTTGAAAGCGGGTGCACAATACAATTCTTAAATTTTCCGAGAAGGAAGCGAAGGCAGTGTTACCAACAGTAACATAGCCAGCACCGAAATAGCTGTTCACTGTGTGTCAGGCATTGTTCTCTACGCTTGCTAAATATCAACTCAGCTCTCATGGTAACTTCGGTAACTTCGTGAAAAGAGTTCCCTTTATTACCCTCGGTCCTCAGATGAAGGCCTGAAGCACGGACAGATTGAATTATCTGCCCAGCGCCACGGGCCCGGATTTGAACCCATGCATTATAGTTCTCCTGATGGAGTTGTGGCCTGAACCTGAGTTGCTGGTCCTTCTTGGGTCAGTTCTCTAGACATCTGAGAAGGTTCGTTAATGAAGGCATTGAGACCTCTCTGGGATGTCCAAGGCTGAAATGAAACTAACCCCGGCTCTTGGATGTAATCCCTTACCATCTGCTCAGCAACTGGCTTTCCAAAGCGCGCTCGCCCCGCTCGCCCTCGTTCCCTCAGTGAGTCCTCCGCGCGACCCTGGCGACACCTCTTGCCAGCATCCTTAGTTTGAGGAGGAAACAAAGGCTGAGGGAGGTCACAGGCAGCCCAGCTACTGAGAGATCGAAACACAGACCCGTGCCCTTGGAAAGGGGGCTGGTGGGGAGACAGGAGAGCCGGGTGAGGACGCAGGGGGCATATGGAGGCTGAGGGCTGGAGTAAAAGGAGCTGCCCAGAAAGCCCAGAGCTCGAGAAGCCTTTCCACACGGAAAGTAGTCTCAGCAGGAGGCAAGAGTTGGCACTAATTCCAGGGAGGGGGAAGGAGGCTGGAGAACGTGGAAAAGAGGGGAAGGGGACGTCTACATATGCTTCCCCCCTGCTTAGTCCAGGGTGTGTCTGTCGCGCACCTAGAGTGCCACATGTCTTCTTCCTGCCTCACTTTCATGGTTTGCTAATGCTGCTTCTAGAAGAGTGACCCTTCTCTCAGGGCTTGTCTGGTTCTGCCCAAGCCCCGTTCAGTGTCATTCTTTAGTGACTCCTCCCAAATGTAGTGGGAGCGTTGTCTGCCCTTGTGATACGGTCGAGGTAGTATCCTCCCTGAGTCTCTCTCAGGAAGATCTCATTAGCCCACGTCTGAGCCTGTCTGTCATTTGACCTTCTCTGCACTCTTCCCTCTATGCCTTTACTGAGATACGGGCACCAGAGAATCCAGACATCAGGAATTGTCTGTGGCTAGCAAGCACTTCCCTGCTTTGCCCTGAGGCCCAAACGTTAGGCCCAAACTCAGCTGTGAGTGGCTTCAGGGGTAGAAAAGCTAATTCAGTCCCCCAGATAAGAAATGGAACCAGCTGCACTCTCAGAGGATTGACTTTCCCCGGGATATTTTCACAAATTCAGAGGATCCCTGTCTGGAAACATTAACTTCCTAGGGCCTCAGGTAAACTGGCTCTAGAATGTAGCTAATGCTATGAGACAACTGATCACATACACAAGGTACTTGATAATAAGTCATATGTATAAAATATATTTTTAGAACTCTATTGTTTTGCCTCTCCAAGACTGAATGTTCTCCTATATAACTTAATACAAACTATTTTCTTAAAACCATTTTACATGAAAACAAGCAACAGGGAGAAGTGACTATGTAGACATGCAGCCAAGAAAAGTCTCTCTCTCACACACACACACACACACACACACACACACATATACACACACAGAGAGAACCATGTCTGATCAGGTATAAAATTGTTCAGACCTAAATTGGATTTGAGGCCTTCAGGAAACTCAACATCCAGGTTTTTAAATTCAATATGTTTATTCTTCTTAGGAATTTGTGAATGATATATTTTATAATTCAGGATAATGTTTATTTTTATATATGGGTTTTCCTTAAAACTTTAGAGGATGTTATGAATTATATCTTGGCTACCTTTATATTACATCATCATAAGACTATCAAATCAATCTGGAAATTGGCTTTTCAATCAGTAAGTTCAAGAGAACAAATAAAATTTTCAATCCCCCTATTATTTTTGCCGCTTTGTAATGTGTATACAATATTGTTTATAGTAGTCATGCTGTTAATATTGTTTGTGACAAGCTGATCTTTGAATTCCTTAACAGACAGCTTCTCCTAAGTATTAGAATGGAAAAAAGACCTACATTGGTAGTTTTTTAGTGCTTATGTAAACCTGTTAAAAGCTATAGGCCTTTCATTTAATATTTAGGGAGACATTCCCCCATTGATGCTAGATTAACACTCCTGGATTTAATTATGAAACACCTGCAATTCATTTGAAATGAAATCATGAAAGGTGGTTTTCACTCAAACGGTCCAATTTACAATACAACCAGGGGAGTGCTTTGGGTATAAGAACATAGTTTGTGATAAAACTAAACTGTATTTCCAAGGCTCTAACAAAGCAATGTGAATCATCACTGTTCTGGTCACTGATTGATATCTACTCCCCTAGTCATTTTCATTCCTTTTATTTCTTGCCTCCCTTTTCCTTAGAGAAAATCAAATGTGTCTTTCCTCCGGCTTCAGGAAAGTGCAGTGGATGGATTCCAAGCTAGAAAGTCCTGGGCATGTGTGTGTTCTGCCTAGACCCGCTTTCCAGGAGAGGATTGCTTTATGCTGCTTATCTGCCAGCAGCCCAGTTTATAATCTAAGTCCATACTTCAGAGGGCCAGCTGTGATCAGGTGCCAGGGAATCGAAAATCTGCCCAGTGGGAACCCACTGTGTTTCAATAAGCATCTCTCTTTTAACTCAGGAACTAGACATTCAGGTACCAGGTATTGGGATAATGTCCCTTTTCCTGGCTTTGTAAAGAAATCTGATGTAGAGCCTCTCACCTTGATGACATTCCCACAGCCTAGAATCAGTCTTCTCAAAATCTGATGCTCCCTCCCACTTGAGACTACTGGACACCCCTTCGGCCCCAGTCTCCCTAGAGAGCCTGGCCCAGAGGGCAAGGAGTCTCAGAGTGGCTGACTGCCTACATTTCCTTCCTCCTACCCTACCCCTCCTACTAAGAGATATTCAAAGACTGTATGTATAATTCTGGGAAGGACTTTGTAACCTGCAGATTTGATAGAAAATTCCTTGCCAGATCTCTAGCCATTCATCTGGAGAGGGGTACAAAATCTGGGAGAGTCCAGGGGGTCAGGATGCTGGATATTAGATCTGGCTCACAGGTTACTTTGTCACCGCATGAGACATTGATTTCAGACCTGTGGTGCTTTCAATAGCACCAGTTTGTCCTGCTAGAAGTCATACCCAGAAGCCATTAAGCCAGTTGACTACAACTTAGATCCAGGAGAGAAAATGAATTAAACAAAGCTCTCAAAGACTATCCAGCTCAAAGCTGAACTCCAGCAGAAGGGCAAGTGGAACTTGAGATCCCTCAGATAGAAGGTTTTAAACTTGAGAAAGGTAGGTTATAACCATGATGACAATAGTTACAGTAGTAGCAGCAGCATGAAAAACAGTTAACATTGATTGAGAAAGAGAGAAAAATGTGTCAGGAGTAATGATCCCAGCAGTTGGGACCCTGGCTATAATCTTATCCATCTTTTGCATCTCTGGCTGGCCCAGAATGAGCCTAGGAAAGATTAATTCATTTATCAGCTATTGAACCCACTGTAATCCTTGCTAAGGAACAGGCCCACAATGGGATTGCCATGTATACTTATTAAAAACAAAGTGCCCCCTCCCCATCCACGTAAACCTTTATTCAGCTCAGCAAGTCTGCCTCTTCTTGGCTCTAAGTTATCCCTTAGAAAGTTCCTTACTCTCCATGGTGAGGCTAGACAATGCAATACCCCTCCATGAAGTTACTCTCTGCCTCCCCCAGTCTCCTCATAAGCCCTTTCCAGAGACCTCCCTGTGGGAAATTAATAAGTTTAGGAAAAATTCTCCACTGTCTGTCTGCTTCTTTGGCATCCTCTTGTCTTCCAGTGTGAATATGTAAATATACGTGTGTGTGTGTGTGTGTGTGTGTGTGTGTGTGTGTGTGTGTTTGTGTTTGTGTCGTGCTTTGGTGATATGATTAGAGGGGGATGAGCCAGGATCTATAACGATAGAAAAAAGAAAAACAATGTTTTCATTCTTATAAAGTAATAATCCTTCTGAGTAGGTTGTTCTTAGAGACTTCGCCTGCCTCCTATCACAGAAGTTGAGATATTTGGGGCCCCATTTCTCTCTACCCTGGGAGGAGAAACGACATTTCCATTCAAATACTCTCAAGAATCAGATTTCCTTTCTTACCCTTTCTCCACCCTCCCACTTAAGTCATAAAAGGCACCACCTCGGGAATCATTCATCAACCTCTCTCCAGCCTTCTCTTCCAAAACAATACTGCAGTTGTCTACACATGTATTTTTTACCATAACTGCCAGAAGCCATGTTAAAGTGGAGCAAGGCAAAAATACCCTCACTCTTCATTGTCATCCCTCTAATCGTTTAATTGGAAATAAAATCCCAGGGAAAAGAGCTCCAAATATATGCATAAACCCATTGTTTCATTGAATTAGATAAAACCATTGACTGAGATGCATTTTTATAGTACTGGTTGGGGCTGAATAAGTGCTTCAGCCCTTCATTAGTGTCAGTGAATTCCAGTAAGTAATAATGCAGAATGATCTAAAAGTAGTTTATGTACCATTTTAACCCATACATTTCTAGAGAAATAAAAATAATCTGTAGATTTTCTTTACCTCCCATTAACAATTTTCATTTAGATCATTTATATTACCTAGCAAAATATGTACCACTTTAAAAATTGGAAAACCTTCAAAGTAGAAATTTCAAAGCTAATCTTACTAATTTTTTTTGTTATGTGAATCATTTAATACCTAAGACAAAGAGTTAGTTGGATTCATAAAATGTAGGAAATTCTTTTATTTGGGCATTTAATCTAAAATCAGTAGGGGAAATCTAAGTGAGCAGCAAATAAGTGAAACTAAGAAGAGATATCTGATGGCCAGATTCTCATTATATAACTCCCCTCTTGGATGTACAGAATCTTAATTATTTTCTAGACTTAGAAGGTCAAACTCCCTCATTCCCAATTTAAATACCAAAAACCTTTGTTATTTTATACAAATCAGAGTCTAGGTTTCAGTACCTCAAAGGAGACATAGTCTTAGTGCCCTTTATATTTAAGAAAGGAAAGGCTAGGGAAAGGAAAAATGCCTGCCATTTAGAGCTTAAGCGTAAGAATGCCCATATACTGCAGTGGGTGCTTTTATATTTACAATATGTAGGAGGATTTTTAAAAATGGCTTGCATGGACAGATGACTTGTCCTGGGAAAGACTCTAAGGAGTGTTCTGTTCAACAGTTTAATGGAATTAGTTCAAAGACACTGCTACACACACACACACACACACACACACACCCCATTGCTGTAGTTTCTAAGGGACCACAACTCTCTTATGGCTACTTCTTTATCTTAATTTGCTGGGGATTTTTACACCTGCATGTCTCCTGCCCTTTCTTTTTCCATTTCTTCTCTGAATTCATGTAAGTGAATTCTTTAACACTGCAAGTTATTTTTCAGATGTTTCAGGCAATTCTTTTGACATTTCCAATCCCACCATTCTTTCTTTAAACAAGTGATGGGGGGATGCTTTGTGGGGGGGGGTAATGAGTGGAGCACCCAGTTATAAGCCAATTGGTGGCTAAATAACTTTGCAGATTCTTATATAGAAATACATGAGAGCCCTCAGCATTGAGTCTTGGTCGTTACATGAGTTGCCCTTGGCCAAACTATTTAAAAGTGTGCACACATGCATAAGAGGAATGATATGTTAAGATGAAGGACAGCTGCAGTTTGAGAAGGTTTATTTGAAAAGTCAATAGCTAACCTGGAAATTCAGGAAGAATTCTCCCCTTCCTCCCTGGTATATGAGGATCTTGCAACTCTTCTTTCTCCAAGTCCCAGCTTAATCCTAGGCAAGGGGCTCTGTCCGATCAGAAGGAACTTATGTGGGGAGGCTGACCAGGGCTGCTGGGTGAAAAGAGAAGGGAGGAGAGAGAGAAGAAGAGAACTCAGTGGGAAATTCTTTACACATTTAAAAAAATTTCTCCTCAGCAAAATCCTTTCCGGGCCTCCTTGTTGTAGGCGCCCGCAAGGGAAGGCACTTCGTGCCTCGCTGCTTCAGTGGGTTCCGGAGGGAGGTCTCGGAGCCAGGAGAGTATCAAGGTAACACTGTACACATCTTTCCCTTTTAAACTACTTTTTGCCAACCCCAATCCACTTACCTTATTTCAGCACTGGCTAAAAAATGAGGCTGTCTCCTTACATAGTGGTTCTGCTTCGTTCACTTTAGCCGGCTACACGTCCTATTTATCCTAAAGCTAACAAATTGCCCTCTTCAATGTAGTGGTGTTGTGGGTGGGGCTGAGGGAGTGGGACTCTCTATACGACTCAAAAGTCTTTCTTCCCTTAGGAGCAGAGAGTTAAATGTCGAAAAAGAATCCCGAGAACCCCCAGCAAAAATGTGTTGCGACCTCTGTTGAAGGAGTCAACTTTCAGGCTGTTAAAGACCTCAAGTCATTAGCATCAGCTGCTGCACTAAAGGGGCAAGCCAGCGCCTCTAAGTGGCTTAGCGCACAAACGAGGCTCCCGAGACGGGCTCGGCAACTCCATCCGCTCTTTCACCACCTGCTGAAAGTGAAAAGCTCTCCGGAGCCCATCCCGGTAATAATTTTTACTTTAACTTATCCTCCGCAACCCCAGGGGTCTTAGAATACCGACCGCCCACGGCAAGGGACCCCCTGTGCAGCACGCGCCAGGCAGAGGCGGAAGAGCAGGAAGAGCTGGTGTCCCCGTAACCTGGGTTCCTGCCACCCATCTCCTCTTCACTTCTTCCCCGGTCAAGCACTTGTGTCCTGGGACCAGAAGATCCCTGTAAATCCCCTTCCGAGGTCTGGCAGCGTTCCCACAACATCCTCCTTACCCATCTCCGTTTTCAAGGAAAGACTGAGCCAAGTTCTCGCCAAAGCGCATCCTTTCTGAATCTTGCTCCTAAAGGCTTGGTAGTGTGAGCGCTCCTAGATAGAGCTGGTGCACGTTTATCACCCCCAGGCAACTAGCTGCGCACATCAGCCGCGGCTCAAGGACCGGAGAATCCCTTGGGACTAATCCACACTCCTCCCCCCACCCCCTTCACAGAACTCAGACTCTGGAAATGAACACGGGGTCCGTGCGTGTGCTGAGTGGCCAGCTCTCTACCAGAGGTTCTCCCAGTGCCAGTCGAAACAGTAAAAGGCCCTCTCCAGGTCTTTTGGTACTTCCCTTTCCGACCCCGAAACTGATTTCCCCGTACCAGTCCCAGAGGGCCGAGGCTTTAGGAGGAGGCGGGCAGGGCCGCGCTCTGAGAGGCGTTTCCACTTGGGGCAGGCGCTCAGGGGCAGCGGGGCGCGGGCAGGCCGGAGAGATCGCTTCCAGGCAGGCAGCGCCGGAGGGAGCGCCAGCCCAGCAAAGAGTTAAAGGGAGGGGACGTGGGCTGTCACGCGTCATTGGGCAGATTATGTGCAGCAAACAAAAAGTGTGTGTCTGCGTGCCAGTCAGTCACTGCATCGGGTCCATCTGTACAACTCTCTTCTCTCTCTCTCTGGCGCTCTCTCTCTCTCTCTCCTCTTACTCTCCCCTCATTTCTCTCTCCACATCTCTCCATCTCTCTCCTCTCTTTAGGCAGAGCCTACAAGACAGCAACACCAACACCTCTTGACATGGAAATACACTGATACAATAGGCAAAAGAAACACTCGATTGCATCTCCTGGTTCCAGGTGGCCTTATTTGGTCGATTTGATCCTGACCTTATTCCTGGTAAGTATTTGCATTGATGGAGGAGGGGGATGGGAGGAAGGCAGGTTTGATGGGAAGAGTGGAAAATGTTGTCCGCCGTCTCCTCATTATCCAGAAGAGGGGGGAAATAATTGTTGAGGGGCTCTCCACTTCCAGTAGGGTAGGGTTATACAAAGGGAGGAGTGGGTGGAGAGCACTTTGCCCAAGAAGCAAGGGACTGGGGAGCGCGCGGCCGCCAGACAATGCCTGCCTACGGGAGAGGGCGAACGGCAGGCGGCAGCGACGGCTTTCGGCGAGCCCAGCCGGCTCTGGGAGGGTCCCCCGGGCGCCTGAGAACCCGGGCCTAGAGGAGGATGCTGAGCTGTGAAAGGTTGGGTGGCAAAGGCGGCCGCATGCGGGCGACAGAGCCCAAGCGTCGCCCAGCAGTTTTGTGACCGGCTCGAGGCTCGTGGCGGCCGCCGCGGCGAAGCGAACTCCTATTAGCTCGGCGTAGCGAGGATCTTTTCACCGTATTGTTAGGTAGAACTGCATTTTAATGATTGCGTCCCTGCTGTTGCCCGAAGTGACGGGGCGACCTCCCGGCACAATGAAACGCTTGTGTGAAAGAGACTTTTAAAAGGAAGAGAAAAATTGGGGCATAAAACGCTGAATTGAAGAAATTGAAAAAGGAGAGAATAGGACTCCGTTGAAAAGGAGGTTCTGAGAGGTTCTGAGGGATTTTTAAAATGTGTCTAAATTTGCAACTGGAGATGAAAAAGGCTACCTCGTGTTGGGTAAAAATGCCCAGGGATAGACGCTGTAGCACAATAAAATAAGTTCCCACTTTGTGGATATTTTTCTCTTATTCCTGTCTGGCAGATACTTGACATTTGAAGGATATAGCAGAGTGAATGGGAAAGAGCTGACCAAAGTTTCATGCTCTGTTAGCTGGAAAGGAAAAAAAAAAGCACTATCTTGTAATCACATCTGCAAGATTAATTGGTTAATAGACATTAAGATAAAAATGGACATTACTCGTATAATTTCATAAAAAAAAAGCTTCTTAGGAAAAGAATTCGGTCTCTTCTTTCCTGCTTCTTAAATTATACAAAAATACATAAATCATTGCCACGTTATTGGGGAAAAACCAACTTGAGAGAATCTTTTAATCAGTCAGAAAGAGTGAACAATGCAGTTACTTCAAAGCTACTTTAAAATTTAAATATCTGTTTTGTTTGTTTGTTCGTTTAATGATAAGTCTTGTGGGGGGGTGTCCAGCGGTAAAGGAAGGAAAAATGTCTCTTTATGACAGCTTAATAGAGAGCCCTCCATTGGGGCATTACTTTCTAGATTGCTGAGGATTAAACAGCTGGAGAGCCCACCGAGGTCTACTCAAGCAGGGCTGCCCTCTCTTGCCTAGACAGGGTCCTATCTGGGAAAGCAGGAATTCACCAGTCATTACGCATGCGGTATTTCAGACAGGGGACACTTCAGGCCTGCCCTGTACCTGCTCACTTCATGAGGCGCATGCGACTCTATCCACCCCCTTGTATAACAAGGTAACTGGGATTCACCCTCATCCATAAATAAGCATGTCGAGAAAAAAATAATTACCTCTGCTCGCTGCTTTTAATTAAAGCCTCAGAGGGACAGTGTTGGATTATGGTAATGAGCAGACATACGTCCCCTCTTGTAGGCTGCAGAGAAAGGTTAGCTGACACCGAATCAGTGGCCCTGACACTCCACTTGAAATCCATTCGCCATGCTCCGCTGTCTCCGCCTGCTTGCTAATGCTGCTTCCCTCTTTGGAAGAAAAACTAATAATAATAAAATCAGCTCCTGGGCACCCAGTTCAATACATAATAGGAGATGAGAGGAGCTTTCTTCTAAGGGTTAAAAGTTTCTTTCAGTCTGGAAAGTCAATAGTCTAGTAAAATATCCTATTGTTCTCCCCTAGTCTCCGACTTCCCCCCAACCCTGCCCCATTCTCCCCCAAGGTAAAACAAAAAAGCGATCTTCTCTTTCCTAACCCTCTGTTTTTCTTTCTCTCAAGCAATCACTCCACTCTGAGCTCCCCCATTGAAATATTTTTTTTTAATTTTTAAAGGAAAAGAAAGTACTCTTAGTTGGCATCTTCAAAATATGCCAGATTTAATCTGCTGTTGGCTTTATTTCTGAAATAAGAGCTATGGAAAATTCAGGCAAATTCAAGAAAAATCTGTCTAGTAGTTAAAATATTCTTCCTGGATTCATAGAGGCAAAAGGAGTAATGTAATTTGCTTCCACTGTCCTTTGTATCTGTCTCCAGTGATGGAGGATTCGGGCATCCCGCGAGGCATCTGGGATGGAGATGCCAAGGCTGTCCAACAATGCCTGACAGATATTTTTACCAGCGTTTACACTACCTGTGACATCCCTGAGAACGCTATATTTGGTCCCTGTGTCCTGAGCCATACTTCCCTGTATGACAGCATAGCTTTCATAGCTCTAAAGTCCACCGACAAGAGAACAGTCCCTTATATCTTCCGGGTAAGTCTTGGCTGATGCTACGTAGGGTATGAGGGTAATATCCTGTTGAAAATGAACTAATAGTCATTTTGATGACAAGCTGAGGCAGCTTCTGAAATCTGAAAATGCAATGATGTGAGAACACATTTTATCTTACACACCAAAAATTAGGAAAGGGAAATTAAACTCAAATTATTGTCAACTGATTTTCTGAAATAAATGACAAAATTTGATTTTGAATGCCAGATATGTCTAAATCAGTGCCTCAGTTCTGAGCTTTCCTGGACATGAACACAACTTCCTTAACTCTTTGGGAGATTCCACTAGGGTTGTGGCTATTTGCATACTAAGTACTTTCTATAAGTACTTTAATTATAAATATTGGGTGCATTTGCCTTCCAACCCCCGAGGTCTCTTGTTCCTGGGAGTATTACTCTTGCTGGTAAAGCTAGCTAGTGTCAAGAGTTCATATTTAGATAAAAATGTTAATGGTTTGACAGTAAAACATCATTAAAGCCATATATTTGAGTGTGAAAAGTCCTCATTTCCTATTCTTTCTTTACAAATAAAAACTATTAATTGTTTAAGCCAAAATTAGGAAGATAAGTGAATGCCACAGAATAATTGATAAGATCTAAGCTTGCTTTTTACTTGTAAAACGAACAAAATCCCCCATACTTTTGCAATGGGGTAATTAAGAAATCAATTCTCAAGAGGTTAACACTAATTTGGATTGTAGGAAGGAACGTCTTCATATGTTGTTCAGCCAGTGTATGAAAACAACGACTTAAATGATCTATATATAATTGATTCAGCTTGCAAGGGATGTCATCCTGCCTGCTGGTGACAAACATGAGGGTGGGTGCCAACTTGGGTCAAGTTTTTGGAAGCTTGATCTCAGATAATTCATTGGAAAAGAATAAGGAGAAATGGCCCTGGCTCCCATGGCCATAGAAGTCTCACAAAAAGTCTCCCTCGGCCCCTCCCTTCTTGTATTCTTTCTTGTCTCTACACTGTAGGTAGACACCTCAGCGGCGAATGGTTCCTCAGAAGGTCTCATGTGGTTGCGTCTGGTCCAATCAGCCAGAGATAAAGAAGAGCAGAACCTTGAAGCCTATATAAAAAACGGACAGCTGTTTTACCGCTCTCTCCGCAGGATTGCCAAAGATGAGGAGTTATTAGTTTGGTATGGGAAAGAACTGACTGAGTTGCTCTTGCTCTGCCCCTCTAGATCCCACAGCAAAATGAATGGTAGGTTGGCTCTCGACCTGCGTATGGGCCCTTAGCAAGCGGGGAGCAACTCAGGGAGCAGCGGGGCTCACTCTGGCGTCTCGGCGCGCCTTTCCTCCCTTGGGGTGCCTCAGAGAAAGCCTCTGAGATATAGTTCAGAATGAAGCTGGGACAGATAGGTGAGAATAAATCGGGGCACGCTTGGCCTAATTACTGTACGGCCCCCAAGTCAGGTGGCAAAGTCGGATTAGGCCTTACTGGATATTCTGTTCTTGGGCACTCAGTCCCTGAGAGGTAACGGTGGATTTGTGAAGGGGGTGATGGCAAACTGTCCTGCAGACGATGCTGAATAATCATGTGGTATGCGTGTGTGTGCGTGCGCTTGTGTGTCTGTGTGTGGCGTTTGCTCACTAAGCAGGGTCGTCCCCTTACACATGCCTGGAATGCAGCCAACGTTTCCAGTTTGAGTTCCCCTATGTGGCGCATCTGCGCTTCCGCTGCCCCAAGAGACTTCACAGCGCTGAGCTGAGCCCCCGAGAGGAGCAAGGCGGCGGCGTGGGCACCAAGGATCACGGGGGCGGCGGCGGCAAGGATCAGCAGCAGACGCAGCAACAGGAGGCACCCTTGGGTCCCGGCCCCAAGTTCTGCAAAGCCGGCCCTGTCCACCACTACCCGGCCGCCTCCCCCGAGGGCGGTAACCCGCCTGCGGCTGGTGGCGGCGGCAGCGCGAAGCCGTCCACGGACTTTCACAATCTGGCCCGAGAGCTGGAGAACTCAGGGGGAGCCAGCGGCTGCTCCCCAGTCCGGAGCCTCAGCAGCGGCAGCAACGGCAGCGGCCACCAGGAGGCGGAGCTGAGTCCCGACGGCAACGCCGCGGGCGTCGGCAAAGGGAAGAGGAAATT